ATCACCGATGGTAGACAGAAGCTAGACGGCAAATTAGTCAACCATTTTCGTAAGGTCATCAGAATCTCGTAAACCAGCGCACAAACGTTCATTTTAACGGTATGAAAACTACAAATTACGCTAGTCACACACACTTTTCGTAACATAATAGTAAGGTTTTCGATTAATCGCGTTCGATTGTAATGCATGATCTACAATGGGCAGTAACAGTAGTTGATTAAGAAATAGGTGTAGAAATTAACCAATCATAGTTGATTATTTTTCTCACATTCAACTATGATTGGTCGATTTCTATACCTACTAGACCACGCATTACGGTTACGAACGACCGAATCGAGCAACGCGATTGGTCTATGTTAAGTCTATTCTACTCTAATAGGCAGTGGATTAAAGAATAGGCGACCAATCATAATCGAATGTGTATAATCATAATTGATTATTCTTCTCACATTCGACTATTATTGGTTGATTTCTACGCCTACTGGTCATTGTAGAATGGGCTATACGTTTACGGATACTGTTATGGAAAGTGTAGCTTTAAGACCACGGTCCAATTCATGTTCACAACGCTAAAAATCATTTTATCCTTGTTGTTTGTCAAATATTAAACGAAAACAAACGCTGCGTTGTCAGCATGAATCGGATCACAATCTAAATATGTACTGCATCTATTTTATCAATAAAATTATAGTATCGAGAAGGATAAAGTAAGGTGCATGTCCATGCTAATAAGACATACGGAGTAATATATTATCACAAGTCACAATTGAAATACTTACCTTAATTGTGCCCTAATTATTCTATTTCATCAAAATGCACTTAGGGCCGATCTCACCACTCCAATTAACTTAATCAGTCGATTGTTACATTGGAACTGACTAATCGCATTTGCTATTCAGCAGAATTGATCAATCATTGTTGATATTTAATCGACTGATTAGCTTAATTGGAGTTGATAAGACCGGGTCTTAATTCCTGTAAAAATCTTCCAATGGTTGCATTCAGCAGAGAAAACTAATCAGTTAGTGCTTAGTAATTCTTTAATATAATTGGTTCTTGCCTTTAATTCTTCGTTAGATTTAAAACCTGCGACACGATGCTTGTTTTACTATTGGATTGCTAATTGGATTAGAATTTTGCTACCGTATTGGCTGCGATGCTGGCACTGATAGCACAACGGATGAAGCTGTAAGAGTAAAAAATTGACCAATCACAGTCGCCACGCATATTTGTCTCATATTCATCTGTAATTGGTTTATTTGTTACTCTTATGCGTGATCTACAATGGCAGTAGCAGTAGTGGATGAGGTTGTAAGAGTAACAAATTGATCAATCACAGTTGAATGTGAGAAGAATAATCGACTGTGATTGGTCAATTTCTTACTCTTACAGTCTTATCCATTTATTAATCGACTATGATTGGTCAATTTCTTACTCTTACAGTCTTATCCATTTATTGAAACTTTATCTGCCTTTGCAGATCACGCATAATTCATGGTCTAGGCAGTAGCAGTAGTGGATTAAAGAGTAGAATCAACCAATCATAATCGAATGTGAGGATACTCAACTATGATTGGTCGATTTCTACGCCTACTCCTTAATCCATTACTGCTACTGCCCATTGTAGACCATTATGTTATGGCCTTACGGACTACTGTGATTGATCAATTCACTTACTTAAATTTTTTCTGTACTATAACCCTAAGGTGTTCACATGTAAGCTTCAAGCAGCGGAAGCAATCAACGAGATGATTTTTATTGTAGCGTAAAAAAATATTTTTACATCACTACCCGTATCGTTCGGTTGATTGATTGCTCCTTCCGCTTCTTGATGCTTGTATGTAAATGCACCTTAATATACGTAGCAGAATGTGATTTTATCGGCGTTGGAAAATAGTCTCTCGAATCACATCTATTTTTGATCTTCTTTGTGCTATGATTTTATCGACAGAGTTAGAAAATGGAACTAGAGAGCCTCAAGGTCTCATGATAATCGAATTTTCGAAAAACGGAATCTCGGAAAAATAGAGTGGGGATCAATCAATCAAAATTATTGGGCTGCCTTATTGTTTGTCTGCACATATACGTTAAATACAAGATTATAATTGAATTTCTATATGTATAAAAAGTAATTCATTACTAATAAATAATTGTTCGATAAGAATTTATTAATATATTAGGTATAGTAAAAAGAAATCAATATTATTTTTGCATGAAATTGAATGGAAAAATAATGGATTTTTACTGCATCTAATATAAGTATTCATTTTTCCAGCATATAAATATAATCATTTATATTATTGGGGATACATTTGCTTGTTAATAAGATATTAATTACTAAAAATTGTCGAATATTGATCTGAATATCTTCAATAATTTTTTTCTTAAATACTATCAACTTTACAAAAAAACTGCAAGAGACAAAAATTGTTAACTATTGCAAAAATTGCAAAATAGTAGAGAACTTTTTAACTCAGTTTAATCCGTTTTACACATGAGCGTTTTGTCAAAACTTCAGATATTTTATATGTATGTGTGTGTGTGTGCGCGCGCGTGTGTGCGTGTGTGTGTGTGTGTGTGTGTGTGTGTGTGTGTGTATATAAAACCACAAATATATTCAACGGATAATACATCCGTGATATTTATAAAATAAAATTTCAATTTTATTTCACGTATTATGTAAATTAATTTCGAAATGGATTAAATTTAAAATGTAGCACATCTATTCTCAGATTTATCTTTGATTGATATAAGATATAAGATATGTGCATATTTTAATTTATATTTTTATTTTAATTAATACTCGCACATGATTATTTTGATTTTATCAACCATATATAAAATCTTAATTAAATTATCCTTGACGATAAATGCAATGGAAATTAATTTACATGATTGTGATACATATTATTTCAAATCCGTAAATAAATATATGATCTGTTAGACATTAGTATAGAATCCACATATATCAATCAAGGATTTTATGATAATAAAGTCACTGTGTCATAAAATCAAATTATTACTTTACATAAAATAACTATCTCGACCTATTAATTGATATGGAAATTTCACGAGCAAATTAGTTTGTAAGCACTTTTTTCCATAAATATAGATATACTATATAAATAAAAAAAAACTCTAATGTGTTGCATTTGAATTTTGAATCCTAAAAAAGTTGATTGATGCTCCTTATATTTTGTAACTTTTAATAACAATGTAATAATCACACAAAGACTGTCATTAAGAGATACAGATACAAAAGGGTCTCAATTAGCTTTTTTAGGGATCAAAATGCAACACAGAATTTTCTTTTATGCATCAGAATTATCGCATTTTAATTGCTTCAATTGAATTTATGATATTATACAGAACACTTTCTCATAGTCATCTTTTAATGCTTTGTTCTTTAATGTTCTTTGTTCTTACAATTAACTTTTTTTTAACAAATGACTTCAAGAGAAATCACATTATGTATTAAAATATAAAAAATGTATTTAATTATAATAAATTGATTTAATTATTTTTTAATATCAGATCGGAAAATTTTGTTTGTTGCTTTTTCTTCATTAAATGAGAACAAAAAGCGAAAACAAAATTTTTAATTGGCGTTATTTCTAATAATTAAAAATATTGTAACATTTTTTAAATTTGCCATTACTTTTATGAAAATTATTGCTATATTACCTTGATGTTTGTGAGATATAATATAAAAGTGGATACTCTTTAAGTTGGCCTAGTTTCTAAGAGAGGGTTGTATTATGTATCATGTACTTGTATTATGTGCTGTTTCTTTACTATCCATTTATAGATAGATTACATCAGTGTATTATGACCTTATAATTAATGTATCTATATTATGACGTTGTAACTGTTGCATCTCACATCATCGATTTTCCAAAGAGTAAAAAGTCGAACAAGATACGTGTCAATGAGAAACTCCATGTGTACAATTAGAAAATGTATGTACATAATGATATAAAATTCTCCAATTTATTTAGATTTAATTTTATATCAAAAGAGATAATTTTGAAAAATAACAAAATAATAAATTCTATTAGTATAATTTATTTATTTATAATGCGCAATTAAATACATAATTTATTGCAATAAGTAATAATTCACAAAAGCCTTATTATTTATTAAATATTATCTGGTCATCAATAACGATTTTCGATAATAAAATCGTTATTGATGAGCAAGTTATATTTAACAAATAATGATGCTTGTGACGCAATATTATTTATTACAGAGTAAATTGTATAATTGTGCGTTGTAATGTATTATATGAGAAATCAATGCACTTTAGTAAATTTTAATTTACATCATAATATATATTACACACACACACACACACACACACATACACACACACACACACACAAAACACACACACACACACATATATGTATATGTATACAATATCAAATATAAAAATCTTTCTGAAAATAATAATGCATAAAAATTGTCTATGTTTAGCTGCGCTAGCTGTATTCCCAAGAAGAAACAAAATCATTCTTTAACATACAATACGAACAAAAGTGCGATTTTCTAACGATGCTATCTTTTTCTAAAGATAACTTAGCACGGTAAATCGATATTTGTTCTGGTCTCCTTTTTATCTTTTTTTCTATTCTTCGTTACGTTCGATTGTGTAATGGGTCTGTACATACGCGGCTGTTCCGTAACTGCATACATGCACCGCACCCTGGGTCGAGGATTCATGTCCGGTGCATCTGTTGCATCCCGCACGCAGGTGAGCGCGCGCGCACGCTCCGGCGGGTGCGAGAGAACGGGTTCCAAGCGCGGGGGCGACCGGCAATGGTGGTGCTGCTGGTGCTGGTGGTGGTGATGGTGACGGTGGTGGCGGTGGCGGCGGCGGCCGCTCTCGGAAGAGGTGGCCGCGCCGTGAAGACGCGCGGGGGTTGGAAAAACGACAGGGAAAGCTCGTAGCGGGCTACCGGTTACTACGCGGACGCATGCCCGCTGATAGCTCAGTGGAGCGCGCGACTTCGTGCCGTAAGCACATTCCTTATGAGTGGATCTCTTTCTTTTCTCTCTCTCTCTCTCTACCTCTTTCTCTACGTTATCTCTTTTGCTCTCTTTCTCCCCCCCCCCTCACACACACACACACACACACACACACACACACACACACACAACATATACACATACTATATCTTCCTTTCTCTTTCACTCTCTCTATCTCGTCAAATGTGTAAGTGTAGGTACGCGTGTGCGCGTTTCTTTCTCGCCTCGCCTTGCTTCGCTTCACCTCTCCTCTGTTTTCTATCTCAGCTTTGCTCGTCGCCGCGAGGACGGCGAGCACGTCCGCCGGCAAATAAAATCTGTGTTGGGTGATACAGCAATAGGAGTAGTGATAATCGCAGATGAAAGGGAGTAAAAGGAAATGTTGAGCATCCTGAGAGACTTTTCGTGCGTTTTCATAATACATGCGAATCATATCTAGAGATGAAGTACGTAAATCAAAATTAAAAACGAGAGATTGCAAGGGGTAGTGAATAAAATTTATTGAGTGGGAGTATATTTGGAAGAGACGTGTGAAAAAATAGGGTGAAAAGAAAAGTGATATTTGAAAGAAGATCAAAAGGAAAGAGAGGGACAGAAAAGGAGAGAGAGAGAGAGAGAGAGAGAGAGAGAGAGAGAGAGAGGGGAGAGAGAGAGAAAGAGAGCATTGGTAATTTCTCTAAAAGATTGGAGAATCTCAAGTGTAAACGGCATATTTGTATTTTTTTCTCCAGATATAACGCGAGATGCGAATATATCTTTTAAAGTGCACCATTGTAATTTGTAATTTTGTTTCGTAAAACAGAATTTTGAAATTAAAGAAAAGTTACGGGGATTTTCTTACGAAAATCGCGAAGATTGCAATTATCATTCAAAGAGAGCAACATAGTGAAGAATTTAGAGCAAGAAAAAAGAAAATCTATTTATTTCTTCGTGTAATCTAGAAAAAAGATTCCATGACAAAACGTTGATCACGAAATCTATGAATAATAATGATCGAGAAAGATATAAAAAGACGAAGAGAAGAAAAGAATTACGGGTTGACTCTTAAATGAATATAAATTACTAATATTAAGATAGAAAACAAGAGAAAAAAAAGAGTAAAAATTATGAATAATGTCCTCATTTTCTTCTCTTCATTAAGCGCACTATATTACAATATGTTAAGGATTCTTTAGCCATCTAAAATTTTTTTACATTTTTATATAACGTTATAAAAATGAGGGATTATATAAAACTCTCAGTGAAAAAATTATTCGTATTATTTTCGTTTAACATGCCCACTTTGTTTTCTTTGTTGCACTATAATACTCATATTGAACATGTACGTGTAAGTGGATGTCTCATCGTAGCATACACGTCCCGATATAGATAAATAGCCATGTTATAAAACAATTCAATTAAACATTTATGCCTTTATGTATTCGCAGATCTTTTTCTCTTTTGGACATCTTCTTTCGGATACCTTTTTCATTTGTCAAAAAACGTGTGTATATGTTTATTTCAATTCGACAGCTGCGACTGATAGAAAGACTTCGCCAACTGTTCGTTATGCAAAAATTGTAACAATTGCTTTCAGCAGCTTTTCTGATCAAAGCATAAATTTTCACATCATAAAGGAATGTCCATACATTTCTATTACAAAAATAAAAGAACTCAATTAACTCTAATTTTATTGTTATTGTGAGTTCAATGTAGAGAAAAACAATCTGTATATATAATTATATATTCTTAATTAGAGGAATGTGTATTACAAAAATCTATATATTATATAAGAGGATATCAATTGCTACTTCTTTTAACTATATATTTACGTCAAGGATGTTTACTTTACGGACAACTGAACTCTATACACTAGATATATTTCAAGAAATAGAAATGCGAGAGATATCGAAGATATATCCTTTAGAAGAAAAGTATAATAGAAATTTGAATAGCTATGATATTTTTACGAAGTGCTATGCAGTGACTCACACTTAAGTATTCCATTGTGTAAAATTCTGCAAGCATTGCCCTGCATAGCAGGCGCTTCCAAAAATACACGTTTCGTTTTAGCGTTTCGTGCACGTCGATATGCAAACGCATCAGTAATTCATAGACCGTAGGTCATTGCAGAGTTGCTGCAATAAGGAGGAGAAAACTAGGAAATTTATTAGAAATTTCCGAGCTGTAATGGGTGAAGAGATTCCTTAAAGTGCTTTTTAATGCTATCAAATAATAAAACATTTTTCGCAATGATAAAATCAATAGGCACGCACTTATCTTTTCTTATTTTTCTCACTTCTTTTTCAACATATTATATTGTTCTTCCTTTATTTTTCCTTCATTTACTTTTTCTTCAAGTAACAAAATATTGATTAAATATAATAAATGATAAAAGATAAATCTTTTATAATTTAAAAACATCCTAACGTTCACTCTAATATTTTCTCTTGTGTTCGGAAATAAGATGTGTAATGACACAAAATAAAAATATTGAGTAAAAATGAGTGCTGTGCAAGACGGCGTGAACTATAAAGTGATTTCAAAGTGATAAGTATTGAACGCGATCAAACGGCGAGATTCTGCTTTCAGCTTCGACTTTTCTTTCAGTTTCGCTCGTTTCGTTATCAAGAGTATTGATATTTCGCTGCAAACTACTCAAAGACTCGTAACTGACATCGAAAGCATGAGAGACATACATTTATCTTCGACTAAAGATGTGTCCAAGAGCTGATCTTAGTTCAAGTCACTTGCCGAGTGTCTGCACGCGCGAGAAAGGAAAATAATAAAACGGGAACCAATGAACACGTAGAGGATGGAAGCATGATTCTGGTACCGCAGGTTCGACGAACTCGACGGAAAACTAGAAGAAGAGCATCTTGAGGTTGAAAAGAAATTGAAGAAAAGGACGAAATGACGAGAAATTGTGGAGATATGGATACCCGCAAGGACGGTGGGGTCGGTCGATCGCGAGGCTCGAATCTGTTGATTTAACCGTCTCCAAGGGGAATCTCGACATGCGTCCGGTGGAGCCGAACGAGACGTCATCGTACTTCTGTTTAAGTTACGTATTATGAGAGATTACGTTCGCGACATGACTTCGGCAAAGAGAATTACCGCGTATCGTTGACGTCACTATCGGAATATCAATGTTCTCAAGACATGATTCGAAGGAAGACTCGCGCCTTTTGCTAATGTTAGCGCAGGAGATTATTCCGAGTTGGAGTCGATCCCTGATATTTTCTGTAGCATGTACGTGACCCTAACGACGTGGAAAGAAATTTGTGGTAGTAGAGCCTCGAAAAGATTGGGCGGTACAACTTTATGCCCTTGGTACGGTACCGTTTCCTGAAAGACGAGGCTAGGCATTGGGTGCGTGTGTGTGTGTGTGTGTGTGTGTGTGTATGTGTGTGTGTGTATGTGTATGATTGTATAGAAGAGGAAAAAAACACGGGGAACTCAAAGATATCTTTCGTGCGGTGGTACCTGCGGCTGAGTGTCTCTTCAAATTGCTTCAATTGTCTCCATTTCGTGCCAGGTACTTGCGAACATCGTATTGGATCAGCTGTACAAATCGGAATCAAACGATACCATCGAAGAATGAAACAATCCTGCGAAACATCGTGAGGACAAAAGGTACGTTCTAAATTAAAAAAAACTGTCTTAAATATAAAAAAAACATCTTCCGCAAAATATCTTCTATATTTATCTTTTAAAGTAAATTTCATTTAAAATTCATTTTGTTATGTGCAGGTAGAATAATTTGCTTAGTGATCTTTCTATAAAATTCTTATTATTAATAAATTTAATATTAATTTCAAGTAAAATGAACATTATTTAGAAGACCTTTGCTTTTATTATAGCAACAAAGACTTTATTTAATAAACTAATGTTATCACAAAATAAGAAAAGAAATATATGTATATAAATGTGTGTGTGTGTGTGTGTGTGTGTGTGTGTGTGTGTGTGTGTGTGTGTGTGTATAGACGTCTAATATTCGCAATAACGGTTAAATGAGATCTATTTTCAGAGATCTCAATTTTTCCGGACAAAAGCCTCTTTCACAACAAATATTACGATACGCCGCGCAGTTCTATCTTCCCAGGATTTTTCTTTCGAGCTCCTACTCATTTTTATCCAATAACCGTGCAATAAGCTCATATTCCTAGCAGTCTAGTATCTAGTCGCCTCATGATGTTTTAAAATAAATGTTTTTATCTCTCATTAAAAATAACTGAAAAGACAACAATAGTTATCTTTTAATGTATTATTGGCAATATTTCCTTCATTTGCTTTTAAGAGGAAGTTCAGGGAACTAATAAGTGTATCTTATAAGAAACATTATTTATTCCGAAAACTATATATGCATTTTTCGCTAAATAAATTTCTTTTACGCCTATTAAAAATACGTCGATAATGGTCTACTTTCATACTTATTGGAAACAGATTATTGGTATTTATTGTGGGATCGCAAGAATTTATTAGTTAGAAAGATTTAATATAAATCTATCTGCACAAAATATTATAATTTACGTATTTTAAGTTTCGTAATATCGATATAATTAACATCTCGTTATATCTCATTTAATTAATTTAGTTAATTTCGATTCTGTTACATCAAAAAATAGAACTTTTTTAAATGCAATATAAATGTTTGATTACTTTAATAATTTTTCAATGTCCCAATAACTAATTTTTAGATTTATTTTTAATTAGATTCTTTGTAGATACATAACTTTTTATAGATGATATAATATAATAATATAATATAGTGAACAATGTTAAATAAAAATAAACGAGAAATATTCAAAATAAATATATGAAGAGAATCATATTCGGCCAAGTCGAATCTTGTAATAATCTAATAATGAGTGCTTTTCATTTAGTAATACAAGTCGACACAAGGATCATTTTGTCTTTGTTATTCATGGAATTCAAAAAAAGATAGAACGACTTTTGTGTTAACTTGTGTCACTAAATAAAAGACACTTCCCAATATTTTTATATAATTTTTTCTCGCTTTGATCGAATCTCTTCACTCACTTTGTGTTCAATATAATAGCATTAATCACTTTACCGTATCAGAGGAAACGATAAAGTAACGTAGTAACTTCTCTCTCAAGGCAAGACCGACGATAGTGATTTGATGGGACCATCCTCTCGATAACTTCCACACTACTCCGTACACCTATATTTCCCTCTACAGATCTTACTAATGACATGCGTGAGATATATCTAATGTAGTAACATGTCGCTTATTAGTAATTGAGTAATTGGCAAGAAGATCGATGTGAATTTACGTGAAATTATACATACATACAAATTTTTACGAATTCATGGAATAACAAACTGAAAAATGATTAAATAAACATGATTAAATAACAATGATTAAATAAACTGACAAAATGATTAAATAAACATAAAAACAAAAATCACACGTGCAAATATACATAGGCGCGCGCGCGCGCTTTATCAGAAGAGTATTCTTTCAATCACGAATACTAGAAAATAAATTAGAAAGCATCATATTTACCCTATTACGGAATATCAAAAATTAAAAGATATTAAATAATCAAGTATGGACAAAATATAATTTTTTAATTAAATTTAATTGAACATGACAGAAATTTTATATCTGATATTTTACTATTATTCAAAATAATTAATATAATTAATAATATTATTCAAAATAATTAATATATTGAATATTATATTACGAATAAAAACCAAATAAATCATAAATGATTACAAATTTTCCATATCGAAGAAAAATTTGTTTTTTCTCAGTTTTTTTAAATTGATCAAATAATATACTTATATTTTTTTCTTTTTTTTCTCCTTTTTTTCTTGCTCTTCGTCGTAATGATTTTGAAAAAATTATTTGACGGATAAAAAAGCTTCTTAAAACTATCGTTGATACATAATTGAATATCAATTTCTATCTGAAGAGTTTTTCAATTCATATAATGGAATTGACTTTACACACGATTTCAATCGTCAGTTTATGAAGCTAGACAAGTTTTAATGTTTGTGACATCGCATTATCCATCTATTATCATTATTACACTGTCATCTTGTCACGAACACAGATATACAGCCATCAAGCATATCAATTTGTAATATCTGTGAATCTACGCACTAGTTCTACGGAACTACGGTTAATGTATGCAAATTGGTGGCATATAGTTGCATGTTTTGCTGTAGAGCGATCGTTATAACGCTATCACAGAGAGTAAAAAAATCTCTCAAGAAAGGACCATGCACGAGAGAAATAACAAAAAATAATAATTATTTATGATTCAATGCTGTAACACGTCAGAAATATAAAGGTAATTATTTATAAGCTAATCTTTATTATATTGTAAATAATTACATGTACAATTGTCTATGTACAATTGTCTTGTGTAATTAAGGATTTTTCTGCAATGTGGATAACAGAAAGAGATAATATTATTTAAATCCTTTTTGTACGTATATAACATCTTAATTCTTTAATATACAGAAAACTGTAATGAAGAGGAGTGAATATTATATAGTTATACTTAGTTTTGTTCAAAAACTTATGAATTTTAGTAGATATATCTTTAACGTAGATATGTCTTAAAAAGCATAATATGTCAATTAAAAATTAAATAGCACAATCATAAAATGTCAAACATGCATAGGCACAAACGAAAAATTTGTAAATCGCATGCTGCTATTTTTTTATGATGCGTCAATCGATCGTATCTCCCAGAACGGGGAATACCCGCGAAATTGAAATGGCCGTGCAAGATCACAAATGGGAGGAGGGAGGAATGCAATTTCTGCCGCGATACGAAAATTTTCGATACCATTTCTGCTGTGCTACTATTCGAGGTTACTGAGCTATCGCACCTATTTCATAGGATTAAATCCTTAGATATATATTCTACGTTGATGTTTTGAATTAGAAAAAAAGAGATAACGACAATCACATTGATGTCGTTTTGACACATATAATCACATATCCATTTAAAAAGAAAGTAGTGATTTTAGATTGTTTAATTTTATAATTATATTAGAAAATTGATACAGAAATAATATTAATCTTGAAATTAATTTAGAATATCGTATTTAAAGTAAAATATAGAGAAAATTCATGTATTTTTAAGTCTTTAAAATTAAAAGTATCTTATTTGCTGATATTTAAACAATCATAAAACATAAATACGATTATGATATCAGAATCGTTAAAGAAATATAATATTATAATAAAAGAATTTATTAATTAAAATATTCTGAGAAGATATGAACCGAGCATCTTGTGAACGGCTATTTTAACTTTAACGGATAAAAAGTAAAAAGTTGATTCTAACTTTATAAGTGAACAAGAAATTGTCATTAAGGTTTAACGCTTCAAGCACTAGTAAAACAAACTTTTGTTCCCGTCACGGTAAAAACCTTTTCACGTTCGTCGATAATTTTCTGTTGTAGGCGTTGAATTTAAAGTTTGGCACAATAAAATAAATTAACTTATTTTATATATACTAAATAGGTTAATCTTGCGTAATCCATCTTTAATCAAAAAAACATGCTTTTTATTTATCACAGGAACTTATAATTAAGTTTATAGTGATAAAACAAATTTTTCAAATTTAACTGATGTTAAAAACAATCTTACAAAAGTAATATTTTTTATTATAGAAAAGTGCATTTGAGCTTGAGTAAACTTGTAAATATACGAAACTGTTTTTTGATAATGTTTAGAAAACAATATAACATCTGTGAGTTTTCACATCAGTCGCAGTCCAATTCTCTATTGTAGATAGGCAATAGCTCAATCATATTGACTATAAAAAGAAAATTATCAATCATGAGATCTATTTTCTGTGACTGAATTAGTGTACACTTTTGGAACTTAAAGTAGAGATAGTAAAGTGAGATATATGTTTATAGATATTTGTCGAAAGCGAGAAAGAGAGTTCTAGTACAAGAACAAAAAACAGACGAATAGCTGCATTTTTATATAAATATTGCAGTAACAACTATGCTTATTAGTTTTCATATAATTTTTTAAGAGAGTTGTCAATTCCACAAACAATAATTCTCATGTTTATATTAAATAATCTTATATATTTTTGATAATACTCCAAACTATAAGATCTTCCTCAATGACCTTAATTTTAACATATGTTGTCAAGATCATGACTCTGAGTGACCTCCAAAAAGTTATAGCTGTTACTCGTTAAAAAGTTACGTACGAAAGAAGTTTGAAAAATGATATCTCTTTGTTACTACTAGGTATATAAAACAGAAATTTTCTGCTTTAAAGTATATTTTACAACTTTCCACATAAAGCGACTCCCACTCTATCTTCCCTTCCCCCTGGGATTTTGAAGCACACGACTTTGTTCACTCGGTATCATGACCTTGACAACAAGGTCAACATTATTTGGGGAAGGGAATCCCTAATTTGGAGTATTATCATATTTTTTAGTCATTATTACTGTATTTATATTTTGAGGAAAAATTCTATTATGCTTTTAGAGTGTACGTGTCGATAGACGATGACCGACTGGCCGTCGTCGTGGTGGAGATGACTACCAGGTTAGTGGCTCGTCCTGAAGACGACGACGACGACGACGAGGTCCACGAAAGGGCACGAGACTCAGCTGTGGGCTATCACTGCCACTGATAAGGCCGGCATTCCATCGCAGCTCACATCGATGCCGACTGCCACATCTACGAAACGAGGTATGATTATTGAATGTTTCTGTTTTCTTACATCATAATTTTTATGTATGTTTCATAAATGTACACAACATTTTTTTATGTCATTAATTTTAACGATTATAATAGAATTTTTTATTAAACATATTTTTTTTACTTATAAACGTCAATATTATTAACTTGCTTGTCAATTTAATACGTGATATTACTATTCTAGTTCCGTTCATAATTGTATTTTAAGATCGAAAAAAATTTTAGTGTGCGGTTTGTAGAATTGGATATGTATTATAAATTCACTCCGAAATACTTAAGTATTAAGAACGGTATTCATAGTCGATTCTTATATTTAGGACTGTTTTAAGTCTAGTCTTAAGATGTTTTAAGATGTTTATTGAATTAATCAGAGAGCCTTAAGATGTTTTAAGATGTTTATTGAACCAATCAGAGAACCATATTAGCATTTTAAGACATTAATTAAGACGATTTTAAAATAAGAATGGACTATGAATCCTCTGATCAGCTTTGATCAATAATAAGATTTCCCTTATTTAATTAAATTTATCTTCCAATTAATCCAATTAGAATTATAATTATTTAATTTAATAATATACATAAAAAGAAAGAAAGAGAGAGATACAGCAAGATAAAATAGTTGTAATGAGAACAAGTATGTTACTGGGGTAATATTCTCTATCTTCCATCATTCTGTTCCCGATTCCATTTCGCAGTTAACATAGCTAATGAAACAAAAGAGGATGTTTCACCGTATATTGTGTTTAATTATACAGCAACAGAGGAGGGAAGTTCTTATCAATAATTTTTGATACTCAAATATTCAAAGTAAAAAGGGCAAACACGTTCAAATCAAGACAAATTGCTATTATCTTAAGCAAATATGATCACATTAATCAATATCACATTAATCATTATATAGAGAATTGCAAAGCACATCTAAGTCTTGTAAAATAACGAGAAATTCATGATATGTTTGTATTCGCTCGAAAGACTTATAGTTTAACAATTAAGGTGGTTCTTTAGTAAATCGAGTTATCATAGAAATGTCTAATTTTTTATTTAATGAAGTACTGAAATTGAACGTGCAAAATTCTACCGTTATGATGATATAAGAAAGAAAAAAAATGTTGAAAATATAAGCTGTATAATTTAATGACAAATAAGGCTCGCAGACAAATAAGGCTTCTTTGACTAACTGCACACAAATCTTACTATAGACTTTTCTTAAGAACGAGATTGTAATAGTTTCAAAAATTACGATTTTAATAATCACAAAAAAGTAATAGGTTAACGGCTATTCTGGAAAGATATCAACGTGTATAAACTTGCCGTATATAAATTTAATCTCGAAAAATAAACATAATCTCATCTTTTTTTCGTTCGATGAAGATGCAGCTCTTGATTTACTATCGTATGTTCTACACTATTTCATTAAGATATACATGTAGTTTTAATTAAAATTTTATTCAAATTATTAGATAATTTTGTAATTTTGAGCTCTAGTGAAAGATCCAAATTTTCGGCATTTTACTAAAAAACCACCTTAAAGAGAAACCACGTATAATAAAATGCAATGTGTAAAAATGAAATCGGTCTTTTATAATCGAATAAATATGATGTTATCACAATTTATGATAAAATGATTCTTGACTATGTTGCTTGCCACTTTTTCACTGTAGATATTGATTCTTTAATGCAATATCCTCGGTCTATTCTAAGGGAATATTTGAAATTTTTTGAATGTGTGTGTACTGTGTATGGAATAAGATTTGTCTACATAATGTGTAGCGATATTTTCAAATCGCTATCGAATCGTTGAAAAAACGATTTATCTCAATTTTGTAGCAAACTGCAGAATTATCAGCGGAAAATATCGAAGAACAGGAAAAAGAAAAGGGACGTGAACAACTAGCGATCAACGTCGAGGTAGAGTCGGTGGTATTTAGGACTCATTGTTCTTCTAGTAGTTGCCTATGCATTGACTCGATAGATGGGCTTGTAGCTTTCTCTATCCGTCATTTGTCCCCTTTCGCCTTTATTCATCTGCCTCACGGCTTTTCTCGGGGGAGAGAGACACTAAGATCTCTTAACGCCAACGTACTTTATCCTTGCTCCGATGCGATCTCCCCTTGAACTTTGATATTTACCCTCTTGTCCCTGCTTGCTGTAACGATTGACGCGGATCTACCGAAACAAACGTGAAACCATCTCTTTTCAATATCAAAAAATAAAATTATCAATATTTAAGAGAGAAGTAACAACTCTGTTAAACAAAATATTTATTAATGTTACGCATATACTATGTAAGTGTTAGCTTTTGATTTGCATTCTTGAGACATCTGTGGACAATCTGATCTCAGTCGTTGTGCAAATTCTACGCAAACACGTTAATGTTTCGACGATTTAAAAAATTCAAAGAAATAAACGAGTCTTCTACACGATGAAAATTCTGAAATTCCGTTGTAAATGCCTCCAAGAATACTGATTTTTTCGCGTTCCCGCAAGCAGAGAACTTTTCTCTACACACGGGTTCGCGTGTTCATCTATGTTCCATTTGTCTCCCTTCAAATATCGATCATCGAACGACATCGACTATGAAACTCTGTGAAACTTGCGAGTTGCGAGAGGTAACCTGTAGAATTGACAGAGCAAAAAGCTCCTTTTGGATCTGAAGTTCGGCGCGTGGAGAGATTTGCAAATTCGGCGCTCCCAAACACGAACGCTCGCGAATATCCGTTCTATGCAAATCGGCAACCTGCATGGCAAACGCGTTCCCGGACGAATTCCGCATACGAATTACCAAAAAACGATTTCTATTATACGTCACGCATGGATACTATAGCCTTATAATTTAATATTCACATGTACATACACATACACTAACAAAATGTATATTTATGTATGCATGTGCAAACTATCAAAATTAATCGTTTGTTTATTTGCGATGTGTACATGAATAATAATCACAAAAAATATATTTAACTAATTTTTAAACATGCGTAAATATTTATTTTTCTTCTTTTCTTAATTTTATTTCAGTCTTGTTACATTTGGATTGTATATACTAATATCATTATAAATTAATTTTTTTAATAAAAAAATGTCCATTTTCAAATGATATAATATATTTAATAGTATAGGAATAATATTTAAGCATAACATTTAATATATTCTATAATTAATTTATAGAAGCATTAGCAGCATAAGTGTTAAAATAAAAGCTTTGAAGAAGTATTATGTATAACTTGAAATAATAGTACTTCTAATTTGTCTGTAACTAGAAACTTGAACTTGGACCGTAAAAAATATATTACGCATTAAAAAAGCATTAACACCTATGATTTACGGTATGACATACTGGGTGCTTTCCAGCAAGGACACAGTCAAACACAGTGAGTCATTTCATGCTTGTTAACGTAAACAAACACAAGGATGTAATGATTCACTGTGTTACACAGTGTCTGACTGTGTCCTTGTTGGAAAGCCAACTGTTATCAGATAGTGAAGAGAGAGAGAGAGAGAGAGAGATCATTTTAAACCTTTTTTTTAAATTCCTGACAGCTAAGATAAAATGTAAATATTGAACATACATTATTTTATCTATAAATAAAATCACTGAACACGAAACCAATTATAATGCAATAACATTTTTATATTAGACTAACAGCCGAGCGGAAGTCAATAAATTATCACACATTCTCTCCCGTACGTATTCTAATGAATTCGATAAATTCACATCAAGGAAAAAGTAGAATGTTACGGAACTCTTATTGTCTTCAACACAATTAGATTATAGTCTGAATTATCCGGTTTTATCGAGGTCATGTTTATTCTATCTATTGATCGCAGAATATCACAAATAAAGTATGTAATCTACTTATATGAAATTTATAAAGTTACAGGAACAGACTGAAAATTTATTTTTCGTAGTATTTTTCGTTTGAGGAAAAATGCAGTTACTCATTTTTTTCTAATATAAAGAAAAGCTAATGTTTATCCCAAACATTTTCTTCTATGGACACGAATTAAAAATTAAATTTGGAATCATGATATCAAGAACTATGTGAAATTTTAGAAAGATGATTAATATCAGGAAATGAAAATTGATAAATGTGTTTTATATAAATAAAGTTACGGATATTTATTTAATTTAATTAAGTATGACAATGATAAAATACCATTATTAAAACAATTAAAGAATATTATTACGATATGAAAAAGACAATATATTGAATATGTGATTATACCTTTAGAATGATTCAATCAATATCGAATGAAGAAATTTGTAGTGGAACAATGTTATTAGAATATTAAAATCGTTTCTCTATAATTCTCTACGCTATATTGATGGACTTTCTTTCATCGTGTTTATCGATCATATCAGTCAAGCCAGTCTGGGAAATTAATAACGAAGTCAGCACTTACGTAAAATGTTCTAACATAGCTCAGAGACGGTAAATTTTGCAGAATATTGAAACCGTGAAAAGTTTTCTCTCCATCGATTTACTTGACTATGTTTGGAATTCGACATCTCAATTAAGGGAAAATCTTTGAAATACAATTTTCGGTCTTTTTGATTTTAATTGCATATTTGCAATAAGCGTCTTTCAATAAAACTTTTTAGAAGCTTATTTTTAAATACTTCATTTTTTGTTGTAGTATGAAAAACATTATTTTACAAAACGAGCTTATTTTACTCTTTACACAGTCTATTTACTTGCAAGTCCTTAAACCTAGTAACGAAATTATTAAATGATATTTTGAAATATCTTACTCTTATACTCTTGGCGTGAGTAAGTGAAACCTTTTTAGTATCATTACCACAGTCTCTCTTTTATGAGAATGCACATCCAAATTGTCACTTAACTTTTTTATGATTGTTTTTTTCAATTGGAAATACGTACTTAAATGCCTCCGAAAGTGTCTCTTTTTACTCATGATTCATTTCTATGATGAGATTTCTATGAGAGATAATTCTCTTCGATATTCGCACATTCTTTTTAATACAT